TGTCTCACAGAGGATGTGTACTCACTCTGCTGTTCATGTCCTCGATCTGCTTTGCTCGCTGAACTCGCCGCATTTCTATGACCTGCTCTCTTTTCTTCTGCAGCCACGCTTTAAACACCACCTCGTTCTCCTTTTTCTTCTCGTTCTCTTCCTCTAGTTTGCGCTGTTCTTCCTAGTAGGGGGATTGTGGAAAGGTATTAGGAGAAAATTCATGAAGCTGTATGTACGTCAAATAGATATATTCTGACTTCTGAAATTAGGATTCCCTGCCTCAAAACTTTCCAAACGAAAACTGCTCCTCTTTCAAATACAGGGTGGGCCTCTAATTACTTAGGAGGGAAAACAAAGGTCTTTAAAGCAGTCAAGCAGGGAAGTGTATAGTTACATGGTGTTCATTATTTGCCATTGGGAATACTATGTATCTTTCATCAACTCGTAGGTTATTTTTGGTACCAGTTAATTAAATTACAGCAATGCAAACCATGGTACATTTTAGAAGCCTATAAATTGCTTGAGCAGTTTTCATTACTGTTTAGTTGTGATGAAGGTACTGCAGTTATGAAAGAAAATACTTCACTCACTTAGAACTGTGAGGGAAATATATGCAGAAGAAAAAGAATGTGGTCTAGGCCTTGTTTTAAAAACACTTTAGCCGGGCAGTGGTGGCGCACCCCTTTAATCCCGCACTTGGGAGGCAGAGGCAGGTGGATCTCTGTGAGTTCCAGGCCAGCCTGGGCTACAGAGTGAGTTCCAGGACAGGCTCCAAAGCTACACAGAGAAACCTTGTCTCAAAAAACAAAAAACAAAACAAAACAAAAAAACTGCTTTAGCCAATGTTGGGAATGTAGCTAGTTGATGGAAAGCTTGCCTAGCAACCTTGGCTTCTATTCTCAGAACAGCAAAATACTAAAATTAAAGCAATAACTGAATAAATAAAATACTGTAGCTTAAAAAAAAACAGGAAACAGAGAAAATATGCCAAAATTTGAGTCTGCTGCTAAGGATACAGGAGTTACACTGTTTTATAGGAATTTGAAATTTTTTTTATTAAAATATTTCTCAGGTATGTTCATAAACTAGCATTTTTGCTATTAGAAGCACACTTAGAGACTTGGCTAACTATTAAGGAAAAATGAAATTGAATCTGAATTCCCCAGACACTGTTATAAAAAAGAAGTTATCTAGACTTGAAGGAAGCTACTAACATCTGTTCTGTAGAACTGTACGGTCGTCAGTGAGAGGAAAAGAACAGAGTGTAGTGGGAACAGCACCGAGCTACAAGTTAGATGTGAGCCAGGATCTCTGAGGGACCGGACTGTGTCAGCTTGGGCAAGGCATCTGACTTCTTCCTGTCTCTTCTCATCATGTGAGATTGCAGATGGAATTTGGAGGCATCTCATCAGGGACGGTAGTCTCTACTCTCCCGTCCCCAGCAGTGGTGCATGCTGGGCACTGCTCTACCACTGAGCTACACCCTCAGCCAGGCTCCGCTCTCAATCTAAAACTAAAATCCCCCAAATCAAGGAATTACAGCCACAGAAGATATATAAGGTGCACACAAATAAAATAATGATAATGCACGTTAGCCTGTTGCCTATACTTTGTGCCTGTCCTTTTCCATGCAAGATTTGATTCTCACCTCTCATTTAATCTGCTTTCACTTGTCACCTTTAAAAGGACAGTGTCATTTCTGAGATCTTGTCTGGGTCTAATGTGGATGGTCTACTATCTTGTATGACGTTTTCGAGAAAGAGTCAAGATAATGGTAGTGTTCCATACACACACATTCTCAACACTTACCCCAGTGATTTGACAACATGAAAGTAAACAAGAGCTTGCAACCATCCCTGTCTTGTGGCATTGATAAAACATGAAAATTCACTCCCCTTTTAACACGCAAGCCCACTTGCCTTCCTTCTTACCTCCCTCTTTAGCTTTTCTCTCTTCCGTTCGAGCTGTTTTTGGAGTTCTTTCTGTCGTGGCGAAAGACAATACGTTGAGGTCACTGGAGAGACACCTGCAGACTGTATCCTGTGATTAGATCTCCTGCTTTTTTTATTTAGCTCTGGGTTGGCAGCAGAACTTGGACGAGTCTTGAGGTTGGGAGGCTGCTGAGGGACTTGCGCCAATAGCTCTCCTGGTGGAGAGAGAGTATGAACCTTTGCCACAGGCTCTTCTTTCTTGACACCACCAACAGTCGGGGTGGGAGACCTGAGCGGCAACTGTGAGGATTCATTTTCTGTATTATTAGCACTATTAATGGGGGGCAGAAAGCCCTGACTCTCAATGTCTTGCAAATTCATAAGTTCAAACTTCCCGTCTCTCTCTACCAGTATCTTTCTGTCGTTCTCTTCACAGCTGCCGTCAGTAACCGACAGGACCACATTCTCTTGTCCTGGTTCACCAGAAATGCACAACTGGGACAGTTTTCCAGACATATTATTTTCATTCTCTAAGAAAGCTTTACAAGTATCACTGTCTTCTAACGGCGGGACTTCTAAATCAACTAGTTTGTCTTTGAACTTAAGTTTCCGCTCCCTTTTGTCATTCACGGGCTCTTGATTCTGTAGGATTTTGTTAGCCTCTATAATTTTCTCCATAATATATCTCCTGACTTCCTCATCCTCTTCTTCCTCCAGGTCTCTCTGGTTTTCTGCTTTGAAGTCCTGGAAGGAGTTCTCACTGTCAGAGTCCGATATGGGATCCAGCGGCTGAATACTTGGGACGGAAATGAAGTCATTTCTTCTGGGCGAGGCCTCGTCCTTCACAGGTTTGTCTGGATCCGAGAGCTCTTGGTTGTGTTCTGTTTCTGGTTCATTTTCTTTCAACTCCAGGTCAAGATCGTCTTCCCTCTTGCAAGCCATCTTGAGAAAAAGACATGACAATCTACTTTCGGGTACAACTGAGATTCTGCTCGTTTATTTGGGGAACAATTGAAACAATTTTTTCTGTTCATGTGGTTTATTTTATACACAGGGGAATTTAAGAGCTTCTGGCTTACACTTTACTCGTAATATTATAACCATATTTTGGAGCACCTCAGAGAAACACCGGAAGAAACAATGAGTCCTCCTTATCATCACTAATTCTTCAACCCTGTGTGTGTTTCACATCTGGGGCTACTCCAGCTGCAAGACCTTGTTGCAACCTCACCTCTCAGGAGAGCTCTGCCTCCACTCATCCTGGACACTTTCTAATATGATGCAGAAAACTCCTCTCATGGCCACCTTTAAAAACTCCACTTTTGCCTTTGTTTCTGTTTTTGTTTTTTCAAATAATCTACTGCATTTATTTCTTCACCCCATAACAAATCGAGAGGAGTTAAGTTTGTAACACCCGCTGTCTTCAATGCCTCTCATTCTTTCTGCTACTTCCCTAGAACCTGAATGAGTGTTCTTAATTGTCGTCCTTCTGAAGTCACCTCACTTGACACCCAGTCACATTCCTGGTCACTTCATCACTAATTGACACTAACGGCCATGCACAGAATTATATATAAATAGATATGCCGTGTGTGTGTGTGTGTGTGTGTGTGTGTGTGTGTGTGTGTGTATGTGTGTGCGCGCGGTGCGCGCGCAATCAGGCACATGCAAGAGCACACTAGCAACAGGAACAGCCAGGAAAGGTTCATCTCTCCTGCCTTTGCCTTCCATCTATCTGATCAACAGCACAGGACCCTGGTTAACATGCTTCTACAGGTATATTATAGCTCAGATCATCCCTTTAGTTTCCCTCTGTCTTCATTACTCTGAAGCACTAATTTTGTCTTAGAGTTTCAGCTATTAGCGGGAAGATTATATTTTTAAAGGATTTATTTATAGCAAAAGTACAAACCCATGATTTTTTTCAGGTTTTCACCTTGGATGTACTAAATCATGCTAATTACTTATTTATTCAGATTAAAATTTCATTATCATTTGAGCTTTCTTAAATGCATTTTTATCCTCGTTCTCTCATTCACCCAAGCTTTAAGACACAGTGTTTAAATTATCTGATGTCTCCATTTCTTATCTCCAAGATGGCAATAATGGTATTTGCTCAATACACATCAAAAAAGCACTGCAAAGTTTAAATGAGATACCATTAGTGAAAACTTTCATGGCTTGCAAAGCACTTTCCTAATGTAACTACCACACGTGCTATTGGTAGTTTACACGTACCTCTATTATGCTGCCATTACTTTTTTCTTTATCATTGATCAGCCACTCCAGGTCCTTTTCAAAGTCATCTTCATACTCCCCACTTTCTTTTGAATCAATAACTTTACTTTCATTCATTTTTCCACTTGTCAGTGGATAATGCTATAAGATTTTAAAAGATAAAGATGTATGTTAAGCCAGTTTAGAGGTGGAATGAGGGCAGAGATCAGTGTTACGGCTAAGCTAATTACCACATAGAAACATGTAACAGGAAGTGTTGTTCAGGGTAAACGTGTTTGTACATATTCGTCAGTAGCAACACATTTCTACAGCGGACATTTCTAACAACCCTTCTACCTCCCCCAAATCTCCCACTCCTAATCTATGAGATTTCTAAAGTAGATAAGAAGATGGAGGCTTAGAAAAGGATTTTCCCCATCCCCTGCCAATCAGTAAAACTCTGCCTCAGCAAATGATGTAGTTTGGGCTTTGTGTTTAGTTTATTTTTTAGCTATTTGAATAACTAAGGAGCTAGCTAACTGGATGATAGTCATCTCTAAAATGTTAATTGTATTCTTTCCATATATTTATTCCTTTAAGTTAAACATATAAAACAGGCTTTCTTGACAAACTCAAAGGTAAGGCTTCAGTAACTTCTCAATTAGAAGTTAAGGGCAATAATATTTTGAGGTGACTTGGATAAGCCAACATCTACAGACTTAATTGCTTACACCATCTACCTACCTACCATTTAAAAATAAGGACACTATGAATGACACAGAATAAAATAAAATTTGCTATAACACAAAAGACATACAAAAATCTATACAAAATGCTATTTTTCCACACTCATGCCTTGGCATAATCAACTTTCTTTTCACAGAAGGGATATTAAAATTTGTTAAGATGTTTAATTTACTATAAGAAAAAATGTCTGTAGAACTAACTCCTTAATGTTTTCCCTGAGTTTTATAATAGTTCTGGACTCATAAATAATATGCATGAAATAGTTCATACTTTTGAGCTATTCAACAAAGACTTTTATGCATCAGCACTTACAGAAATATCACCTATATGAAAACTAAAATGTTAAATTCAAAACAAGAATCAGTATAACAAATGAAAATGTATCAGACACATTAGGAGCTATTAAAATCATACAAGTGTAAGTTAAAAGAAAAAGGCATGGGTAAAGTAAATGAGAAATAAATGAAGTTGCATCAAATCTGAAGTGTAATTGAATTTCTATAACTCCAAGAGAAACTGCACCACTGCCTCTTGCGTAAACAAACAAAGTAAACTTGAACTCCTGTTGCCAAGTCCTTAAGCCTTTCAAAATGAGTCACAGGATAGTCAAACCTTCTGTTTTCTAATCATCGTCACCAGGACACTGTCCATAGGATACACACCTCAACATACTAAAAAAAAACGGTATCTTCCATGAACCAAATGACTTAGCATTTCCTCTTTTATTACTATGAATTTTACACATTTTTAAAGTTTATCATCAATAAAAATCTACAAAAGTGGTTCAGGCCAGATCCACCTTCAACAGTGAACTGCAGTAAGTGGCAGACATGAATTCTTTCCTCTTAAGTATGTGAAAATTCCTGAGTGGGTAGGTGCCTGAAGACCTTCCAGTGTGGGTCCGAACCAAGTGCACAGATGTACATTATACTGGTAACTTCATTCCCAGATTAAAAATATTTAAAAATACTTTAATCTGATACTTCGGTTCCAGTCTTATCCTATATAACCTTTTAAACAATGTTTGCTGAATCACCAAGAACCAAGAGAATAGTAAAGAGAAAACCTTTTCACACACAATAAGCATTTAGCAAAAACTTGTTTTTAAAAGCAGTTAAGCAAAAACCCACAACACTATGAAACCATCAGGTCCATCCTTCCTGAAGCATTCTGATCAAGACTGTGGTGCTATTCAATATTTTTTAAATTACAATCTGTTACAAGCTCTGACACTAATATTTAACAAAATTAGGTAATGATTTGAATTCGTACTGAGCATCCTAAGCCAGCACCAACTAAATGGATAGTATTCCACGTGTGGAAGTTAACATTTTAGGAGTTTTTTCCATGCAAGCTACCTTTCACATTCGATAACTTGGAGAAGGGGTATACTATGACAAAAATGCAGAGCGAGCATCTAAGCCACCATCTGAGGGGTTCCCCTTGTGCATGGCTGCGGCGACGTTATGCCCGGCTGGGGAGATCCTAGGGCTTATCCTGGGAGGACCGCTCATCTCAAGAGCTTCACCCATCTGCCCTCCCACCTAGCCCAGACGTTTATCTTCTCCTCGATCCTCCCACCAGAATCTGAGTCGTCCTGCCCTCCTCTTCCGCCAAGTCCCCTCCTGCCTGTAGAAGATGCAGCAGTTGGGGGCACAGAGAAAGCCACGGGAGCTCTCCTCTCCTTTTCTAAGCTCTGACAACAAGGCAAGGGTGACACCCCCGGGCCGGCTCCTGCTGCAGCCAGCACCCGGCTGCCATGGCAACGGCGCGTCTCTGCGGTCTTCATCCGGGCATCCCACTACTGAGGCTCCCTAGGCTCGTGCGCAGGCGCAGAATGCACTCTGCCCACACCTGCGCCACACATCCTGCCCCCGTTTCCTAGACCGGGAATCCACACGTCATCTTGGGCTTTCACTCCACGCTAGGGCCTGGCGAGGGACTGCTACCTCGGGCGTGGATTTTGTATAACTCTCTCCAGATTTTGAATTTGTTGCCAAAATTTATAAAAGTGCATTTCTGTCTTCAGTTTCTCAAGTTAATTTTTTTTTTAAAGATAGCAAATTGTTAATTGCTGTTTCGACTTTCAGTTAAAAAAAAAAAAATCAGTCAAAATTTTACTTACAGAAAAGAGTTAAAGGCCAGGAGGTGGTGGCGCACGCCTTTAATCCCAGCACTCGGGAGGCAGAGCCAAGAGGATCTCTGTGAGTTCGAGGCCAGCCTGGGCTACAGAGTGAGATCCAGGACAGGCACCAAAAACTACACAGAGAAAACCTGTCTTGAAAAACCAAAAAACAAACAAACAAACAAACAAGCAAAAAGGAATTATAAAAGAAAATAGAACTCTTAGTTCTAGCATTCAAGCTTATCAAGACAGCCAATTACAGTTTTTCTATAACTTCCCTAAATATCTTTATGGATAAAAGGAAAATAAGATAACATGCAGGACAGATACCCCATCCAGCCATGACAGAGCTCACAAGACAGGGTGTAATCAGAAGGATAGGTGAGCAATGTGACGCAGGTGAGCATTCATCTAAAAAGGGGGGGGGGGGTGGACTGAGAAGAGACTAAAATAAAAATGTTCTCTGTAAAGTGTTTACTCCAGAGCTTACTTTTGAAGAATAAAGGGAATTAGGGGAGACAAGCCGCCGCATTGTTACATGGATATGATAGCCCGTGAGAAGACAGAAGGCATCAACTCGTTTTGTGGAGTCAAAATACGCCAGATGGACTGATGGACTGCAGCGTACAGTGAAACCTTGCCCATCGCAGCCCCTCAGCGATTACAAGCAGCATGCGGAAACTAATAATGTGATCTAGGGATAAACGTCGTCGCTCCTCGTTTCCTTGGAAAAGTTATTCACAGCATTCATTCCTACGAAACTGTGAGCTCCCTCTCAAAAGGAGACTGGGTTTCAAGCATGTACGATGAGCCCTTAGCCAGATAGCCATTGAAGTGTTTGATGAGTATTTATGGAGTTCACACAACTGATAGGTCTTTAAAATGAACGCATCGTAAAGGTTACAAGCTCATTTTATTGTGGCCAATTTAGTCATATGTGTAACTGATTTCATAATTTCCTTCTAACGCTTCCGGAGGAGAAGGATGGTTACTGAAGGAAGAAGTGTTTGATGACCAGAGATGAGAGAGAAACATATTTAGAAAACGGAACTTGAGGAAGCCGACACTCTGATAAACAGAATAATGAGAAGTACCACGAGTGCACAAGACTTACACGCAGGTGAGGGGGGAATGATGGTGGACTACTAATGTCACATTTTACGATTTCAAGTCCCGCAGGTGAAGGTACCCACTCCACCACATGCATGTATGCCATCTAATACCCTCTGTCCTCTGAGATGAGTGTGTGTATGCCACCAACGACTGACCAAGGAGAGAAAGTGAAGAGCATGTAAGAACTGGTGGATTTAGGAAGAATCAAGTACATGAAAGAATTTGTTTGCTATTTATTATCTTTCACTTGGATTGACTTTATGACATTCAAGTTTTGTCAGAGTTAATTATCAATAAGTGACTGTATTTTGTCTGTAGGGTATAGAAAGACGTGAATTAAATTGTACATGAACCTGGTGTATGTAAAATGGTGATATATTTTCCTTATCTACTGTTTGATATTAGTTATAACCATGAAATTTAAATGTGTGTATTCTAAAATAATATCCCAGAAATAGATACTACCACCCTATTTTATGTCTTTATTGATTATACAATACATAGAAATAAGTGAGCACAGTGTAAATGTAGGTAACTTTCTATAAATGCTTCAACTTGGTAAAGACAATATAAAGCTTAAATAAAGAAGAAAATTAGATCTGTCAAACTGTGAAAGACTGAAGAGATGTGAAAAAACATGTCTTCTGTAGAATTATTCAAGGTAGTATACTTTATAGAAACTATTCTGGCTTTCGCAAATTATAAAAAGATTTTGTCATTTAACAAGTAGTGAATGACTCAGTACTAACATGCCAGATACTGCTCCATACATTTGGAGTAAGCTACTATAACCACTAGAAGCCTAACCCTGCAGCCACCTAGAGTCCAGTTGCAAATATATATATATATATCAAATGCAAAAGGCTTAAAAGATATAAAGATACTATGAAGTTCATAAGCCTCTCACAGGCCTTTGACTTTCTTTCATCATTTCAGATATCTGAACTCCCTGGCCAGGGCTAAGAATCGGATATTTGAAAGGAAGTGAAAGAAACCAGAGGGGATATCTAAGTGGGTTTAATTTTCGGTATTTTACACCTGTGTGTTCTACCTCCACTGCTCATTCATTTGGAGCAGTGGTTCTCAACCTTCCGAACGCTTCGACCCTTTAACAGTTTCTCATGTTGTGGTGACCCTCTGACCATAAAATTATTTTCGTTGCTGCCTCATAAATGTAATTTTAGTACTGTTAGGAATTATGATGTAAATATTTGTGTTTTCCGATGGTCTTAGGAGACCCCTGGGGGTTGTGACCCATAGGTTGAAAACAACTGATTTAGAGGCTGTAAGGGCTTCATAGCTGTAAAACTGTATAGTTTGAAACTAATTATTAAAATTGAGGTATTTTGTAGATTAAAATATTTGATAATGTACTGACTTTTTTTGCTTAAAAAAAAAGATTTAGTTATTCATGTATATGAGTTCTCTGTCTTCATGAATACAAGAAAGAATCTGATCCCATTACAGATGGTTGTGAGCCACCATGTGGTTGCTGGGAATTGAACTTAGAGCCACTGGAAGAGCAGTCAGGTGCTCTTAACCACTGAGCCATCCCTCCAGTCCCCTGACACTGTTTTTTCAACTTAAGTATTTATTGCCTTCAACTGAGGGATTTCTTGCGGTCGTGGGGACAGAAAACAAGGGACATAATAATAAATAATAACAAAAATACAAAATAATAAACAACTACGTTAATAAACTTTTTCATTGCTAACAAATACGTTATAGAAACAATTTCCTGGGAGGGAAGTTTGACCTTGCTTGGTGGCTCCCGTCCCAGGGCTAGCTAGCTCCAGGGCTTTAGTGAGGCGGAGTGTTCCAGCAGAAGGGTTTGTTAGAGAAAAACTCCTCACCTGTGGTAGCCAGAAAGCAGAGAGCAAGCGCCCCTGTGTTAGATGGTTCCTTCCTTCCTTTCACCCACTCTTCCATCCAGAAAACTAGCTTGCTGCAGCTGTCCACATGCAGGGCAGGCTTTTCCTTGCCAGGAAACACCCTCACAGAGGTTCCCAGGGCCATGCTCTCCGAATTTCCTATGCATGTCTCAATCCAATCTAGTTGACAATGTTAACCATCACATATGCTGAATAAATTAAATGATATGATATGGTACATCAGAAATATTTCATATCTAAATATAGGTATATAATGAAACTGACCTAATTATTAAACAAACACAAATATTCTTTTTAGATTTATCCTTGTGAGTCACACCAGAGGCCGGAGGACTTAAGTTTGCCTCTGACCCACAGCACAGCACAAATTCACTTCTAGCTCAAATGCCAGCAATACATTCCTTAAAACAAATGCACTAAGGAAAAAGGTATTTGCAGTCTAATTACTTCCACGTGGTAGTAGATTTGTTCAGCACTTTTGACTGCAGGCCCTGGCCCCGTAGGGCAGAAGATTAAAGGGATTTCTTAGTGGGAGGTTCCAGCTTGCTTATATATGATTAGGAGTCCTGTGACCAACCCTTGACTGTGGAAGATTTAATAAGAATAAATCACCATAGCTAAGAGACTAAAACTATTTACTTCAGTTTATCCTTTGAGAAAGCGACAAACATTGTATGTTTTTCACTATTGACAAGGAAACCCTCTGTTTATAAGTTGAGTTTTATCATCTAATGAATAATTTCTCTTTCAAAATAAGTATCCATATGGTTGAACGTGTTATTTACTAAACTAGTCTGTATATTTAGCTTTTTTTCCATGTGCAAATTTATAGAAGTTTGTTTACATTTCAGACAAGAATATCTAACAAGAAGAGCAAACTAATAATAAATTAGAAGATGAAGAAGCTAGGTTACCAAGGTTTATGAACACTGTTGTGTGGTGATGAGATGGACACTGTCTGCTCATTAGCATCTCGAGAGTAGAGGCTGACACACCCTGGAAGCCAGTGGTCTACCTTTGGTTCAGTTATGGTAAAAAAATATCCTTGTAAGTTCGTAGTCTGTCTATTCATATTCCCCTATATTCTTTAATGTTGACATCACCTAACGAAGATGACATTTTAATTTATTGACAATTATGGCCTACCATAAAATGTTCATGTGCTTAAAACATGCTCCTGAAATCAGAGGCTGCTTGAAACAACATTTTTGTTTCAGTGAGTTGCTAACACAGATAAGGCAGTTCTGGAATGCTGACGCTAAGAGGTTGTTTTCTGAGTTTCACATTCAACAATCAGCTGGGGGTATGGAAGGTCAGTACATGGTTCTTGGGACCAGGAAGATAAAATCATTTTTAAAGTGATTTTTCAGTTTTCTTTTTTACTAAGAGAAACAAATGATTTAAGGAGGACTTTCAATAGTGTGTGTGTGTGTGTGTGTGTGTGTGTGTGTGTGTGTGTGTGTGTGTGTGTGTTGTGTTGCTGGAGATCACAGCCAGGGCTTCAAATGCACGAGGTGAGGGCTCCACCACTATCATACACACCCCCAAATCCTTTAATAACATTTATTTTGAGACAAGGTCTGTCTCTATACCTATGGTTGGCCTGGAACTCATAGAGAGATGCTTGCCTCTCCCCGCTGGTCACTAAAATGAAAGATGCATGCCACCCAGCAACTT